TCAGTTATAGATGGGTAAAGCCAATTTCCTAAGATTACTCAGTTAAGAAATGTGGAAACCTTGATCTCAGTATGCTCCTATAATAACCATCCATTATTCAACGACTTTCATCAAATTAAAAAACATCGTTTTTATTAGTCATTGGGCAGACTTCCAATTTCTTCTCAAGATGTAAAATGCTAGAAGGAATGTTTCTCTTCTCTGTATTAAAAATAAATAAATAAATAAAGTCTGTACAGGCTGCAAATGTATGACCTTTCTTAATCCTATTTGGCGAAGGGAGATTGCAAGGACACACACACACACACACACACACACACACACACACACGTATAGACAATACATAGTGGAAGGTGAGTAACTTATAAATTAAAGTAAAATGTAAGTGTTGGCTTACGTGGGGTATACACAATTGTACATAGTTAATATAATTCAGCAAGGACATTTTGATGAATATATGGAAAATGAATGTGCACTGGCAAAAACACTGGGTAACTCCTATGGACAACCAATACTTGGGTACTCAATACCAATTCATAGGTTTCTTTCTTTTCTTTCTTTCTTTCTTTCTCTCTTTCTTTCTTTCTTCTTCTTTCTAATAAAACCAACCATGTGCTAACAAAAAGGAAATTGACAAGTGCCATAAGAAAGAGTCACTTATGGTTCAGATATAGAGAGCAGTAGCTTCAGGAAGGGAATGATATCACAATTGGAAGTTTTTCTTCCACTACTCTGTGGGACAGAAGGCTTCATCTATAGAAAGAGGGCAAGAAAATTCATTTGAAATTAAAAACCACTGAAGCTAGGGAAAGGAAAACAGGGATGCACACAGATGTTTTCTCTCTCTCTCCTTGCCCCAGGAGAGGAACCACACCAAGAAGACCCAGGAGCATGGTGCCTGCCCAACATGGAATATTAACCAGAACAACAAAATTCAATTTGTACTGCTCCCTTCACTAGCGGGCTAACTAGTATCAATGAGTAACAGCAAAATACTTTAGGGAGAAAGACAAAGAGAGATGTGAGTGAGAAAGAGATCTACTCTGAGGTCCAGCCTAAAGCTGAAGGCAGGGCAGACAATGAAATACACTCTCTAGAAAACCCATAATTGATACGTTAAAGGCTGAAGTGGAAACCATGTAAGATAAGATAATATAAGTTATTTCATCAGAGAGATAGAAAAGTAACTGTCAGAATGAGTCAAATATAAATGTTGGAAAAGAAAGCAGTAAAATCAGGTGAAAAATGCCCCTGATGGCCCCATTAGGAAACCCATCACAGCTGAGGAAATAAATCGGCAGACTGGAGATGAAACAACAAAAAATAATCAAAATAAAACACAAAAATAAGAAGAACAAAAAGCATTGAAATACTGTTGGGCACTATCATACATTCTAACATATGTATAAATGGAATTTCGTAGAGACAAGTGAACAAGGAGTAATATTTAAAGAAATGGTGGACAAAATTTAATGGCTCTTTCAAATTTAATGACTCTCAACCATATATCCAAAAAACTCAGAGAACAGCAGATAGGAAGAACACACACCCCCCCTTACTAAACACAACAATTAATTATTAAAATAGCACCTAAGTATATCTTATTTATCCTGGGGTGGTGTGTACAATAAAAAGTAACTTGAAGACAAAGAAAAAGATACCTTCCGTACCAAAGAACTAAAGTAAAATTTACAAATTTCTCATCGAATTTAAAGAAGTTAGAAGACAGTGGAAAGACAACTTTAAAGTGTTGAAAGGTAAAATAGAAAATTATATTTTCTTCTTTTTATTACTGTTAGGAGAACTGACTGGCTAAAGCAAAAATGAGAGGAATGCATTATATGCACGGTGGGGCAAAAGTAGGTTCATGGTTGTTTGTGTAAAAATAATACAATAGTTAATAAATAATAATACAAAAATACATTGTGTTTCACAGTCTCACAACTGTAAACTTACTTTTGCCTCACTCTGTATAGTTTATGTAAAGTAAAATGAGGAAAAAGTAGAACAAATAATGAGAGAACACAACTGACAATAGACTGTTGTAATGCCCCTATGCTGCATACAAGTGGTACAATGTTATTTGAGGGTAGACTCTAATTAGTTAGATACAATGTTATTTGAGGATAGACTCTAATTAGTTATAGACAATGTTATTTGAGGGTAGACTCTAATTAGTTATATACAATGTTATTTGAGGGTAGACTCTAATTAGTTATATACTATAACTTTAAGATACCACTAAAATTATTTCACAGTATTAGGCCAGACAGCCTAAATACTAAGTTGAGTATGGAAAAAATGTTATGCATACAATCATTTAAAATTGTATTTTAGAACATTAAAACAGATCACACATTTAGTTTTAAACAGGCACTACTTTATGGAATTTTTCAAGGAAAATTCAATAATCAAGGGCAAAAGAAAGAAAGGTTACCTACCACTTAAATTATGAAAGGCTGAAGAGAAAGAAATTTGGGCTTTGCTCATGTCTCAATAAACCCTTGCTTATAAAGACTGATAATTTTTAGTTATCATATAAAAAGTAGAGAAAATTAAGTTAGCAAACATTTCTTTGAATTGTATTAGTAAAGATTCCACACTATTAGCTCTGGCTGGGTAGCCCAGTTGGTTAGAGCGTGTCCCCATGTGCCAAGCTTGTAGTTTCAGTCCTGGATCAGGACACATACAAGAATCATCCAATGGGGGCATAGATGGATAGAGCAATGGGTCAACGTTTCTTTCTCTTTCACCCTCTCCCTTCCTCTCTTTCTCTAAAATCAATACATAAAATGTTTCTTTTAAAGATTCCATGCTACTGTTAATTCTATATATCCATAGATTATTAAAAAATGCTAGTAAAATGAATAAAGATTACACATTTTAATATCTCTTTGGAAAGATGTAGAGAGCTTTCGTTTCATGTTATTCCTTGATATCATTTAGGTTAGCCAGTTACCAGAAACTTAGTTTAGGGATATGTTGTTGTTTTTCCATTAAATCATATCCATAATAGTAAATATGAGCAAAGTTACTAGCTAAGACTATAAGTTCTAGTGACACTCCAAATTACACTCCCCAGCCTTTTTCAAGATTTGTTTTGTCTGTTTTTTTTTGCATGCTATTTTCCTGTCAGTGCCTCTTTCTCTCGCTCTCATATATACACAAAAACCACACACACACACACACACGTTCGTATCGCCTTTCAGGCAGTGCATCACGTCATTAGGTTTGTCTTATTAACTAATTTATGCTATGATAAATAATGGATAATTATACATGACATGATATAGAAAGGTATACAAGGTAAAAGAGTCTGCAAAAACTGACTTATTTTTGGTAAGAAAATATTTTCATAAGTATACTTTTTGCTATTTCATAAATAAGTTAATATTTTGGATGAGATGCCTCGATGGAAATAAATAGGTATCCTTCGACAAAAAAAAAAAACAAACGGAAACAGCAACAGCAACAAAAGAAACATATACACTTGCACTGTAAACCATGGTGCCATTTGACAAAGGAACTCATGTGGCATTTTTAAGTGACCCCTTTTAATGTTTATTATCCTGGCAAGAATCCTACAGTACAGGTTTAATCTGTAATTTGGTGCTCGCAATATCTACAGTTATCAGCAGGAACTACATATGTTTATCTCTATTGATCCTTCTTTTTTTTTTTTTTTGAAATGACATATATAAAATTTATTCTGAGCACTTATTGTTACGGAAAAAGGCTTTCATACCTGTTACCCCAGAAAGGAGTTTCGTCAGTAAACGAGGCAGAATACAATGATACATAAGTAAGGGACTAGGATATGCAGGAGCTGTCACACAGCCAGTAGGAAAATCTCAACAAATACCAAACTGGCATTTTACAATGACCCCTTCACGGAGGACAAGTAAAACAGATAAAATAGGATAAAAAATTTAACCTAATTGTACATTAGAAATATACTTCAGTTCATCCAGGGATGCAACAGGCTTGAAGATAGAAAGAAAACATTAGCTCATTAAAGGAAAATACTGTATAGTAATCTTATGGACTACTGTTGCAAGACAACTTCCAGAGTTATTTCACCTTAATTTATATTTTTTTAATTTTTAAAAATTATTTATTTGTAGACAGAGGGGGAGAGAGAGGACAGAGAAACATCAATGTGTGGTTGCCTCTCCAGTTCCGCATTCTGGGGACCTGGCCCACAACCCAGGCATGTGCTCTGACTGGGAATTGAACCAGCTGCCTGTTGGTTCACAATAACCAGGGCTCAACACACTGAGCTACACAAGCCAGGGCTCACCTCAGTGTTTTTTTTCTTAATTAGAAATCTACATTGCAATGATGCACTTTACAAAACAAGCTTGATAAACACTATGTATATACAACCTGAATACTTTCAATGTGGAAAGTTTGCAACATTATACATGGATTAATTTCCATCAACCTTTTTCATGTCACATTTAGTTTTCTCTCTTTTCCCTGAGATTTTTCACATGTAAGGATACGTGCATATTGAAGCCCTTCCAATATTGTTTATGCTCAAAAGTTTATCCAGTGGCTCCTTTCATGCCTTTGGAAGGAACTGGAATGACTAAAGGCTTTCCTACACTTAGATATAGTATATCTGAAAATGTCCCACATCTCCTTTTATGCTAAATTAGGATTATTATGCAAAATGATACCCTCTCCCTACAGGTCACCTCGTACAACCAAATTAATACTTAGATGACTGGCTTTACATAGTCACACCTCTTTTTGATGTTTCCACTGGGGAAAAACATTGGACTTGCAAAGATACCTCTCTGCTCCTAGAATAAAATCAGGATGGGCCAGTATAGTGCACATTCACTGTGTTCAGTAACTTGTGTATAAAATGAAGGTTTTCCCACATTTCTTACATTTATAGAGTTTATCCCTCCACTGTGATTTCTTTTGTGTCTTTGGAAAACTTGTAAAGAAAGGAAAGCTTTACCTCATTGCTAACATTCATGGGATTTCCTTCACGTTTCCTTCACATGGGGAGTCCTTTCATGTTTTCGAAGATAATTAAGACAACTAAACCCTTTTCCACATGTTTTACATTCATAGGGTTTCTCTCCAGTGTGAGTTCTTTCATGCGTTTTTAAGGAAGTATGATCAGTATAACTTTTATCACATTGCTTACATTCATAGGGTTTCTCTCCTGTGTGAGTCCTTTTGTGTTTTCGAAGATAATCGGGACAACTAAACTCTTTTCCACATGTTTTACATTTGTAGGGTTTCTCTCCAGTGTGAGTTCTTTCATGTGTTTTTAAGGAAATGTGATTTTTGTATCTTTTTCCACATTCCTTACATTCATAGGGTTTCTTTCCTGTGTAAATCCATTCGTATGATTCTAAGGTAGTGTAATATCTGGCTTTATTACATCCTCTATATTCATAAGGTTTTTCTTCAGTGTGACTTCTTTCATGTTTCCGAAGGTAACTGGGACTACTGAATGCTTTACTACATGTTTTACATTCATAGGGTCTTTCTCCGGTGTGACTCCTCTCATGTGCTTTTAAAGAAGTGTAATCGCTGTAACCTTTCCCACATTCCTTACATTCATAGGGCTTCTCTCCTGTGTGAGTCCTTGTATGTCTTCGAAGATAACTAAGACAACTGAATTCTTTTCCACATGTTTTACATTTATAGGGTTTCTCTCCAGTGTGACTTCTTTCGAGTGTTTGTAAAGAATTGTAATACCTAAAGGCTGTTCCACATTTCTTACATTCATAGGGTTTCTCTCCTGTGTGAGTTCTTTTGTGTGTTTTCAAGGCAGTAGGGCCACTGTAAGCTTTACCACATCCTTCACATTCATAGAGTTTCTCTCCTGTGTGACTCACTGTGTGCTTTTAAGGAGTCGTAGTATTTGAAGGCTTTGCCACATTGCTTACATTCATAGGGTTTCCTTCCCGTATGCATCCTTTCATGTTTTTGAAGATATTTGAGACAAGTGAATGCTTTTCCACATGCTTTACATTTATAGGGTTTCTCTCCAGAATGACTTCTTTCATGTGTTTGTAAAGAACTGCGATGTCTGTAGGCTTTGCCGCATTGTTTACATTCATAGAGTTTCTTTTCAGTGTGACTCCTTTCACGTATTTTAAATGAACTGGGAGAAATGGATGCTTTCTCATTTTCCTTGCATTTATGAGGTCCATCTCCAGGGTGAGTGATCACATGTGCTGGAAGGATTGAGAGATCACTAAATGCTATCCCACGTGTCTTATACTTAAAAATTTTTTCTCTGGTTTCATCTACTTGAACATAACTGGAACTGAAGGCTTCATCACATATGTTATGTTCATAAGGTTTCTCTCCATTGTGATTTTCTTCATGTTTTTCAGTACACTGCAGACAACAGTTGAATGGCTTCCCTCCATATGGCTTGTGTCCAGTGTGACATCTGATGTTCCCATGATGAGACGACTGCTGTGTGAAGACTTTCCCATACACGCTGTATTCACGTGGTTTTCTTCCAAGAGCTTTCTTGTTCATATTGAGATTTGGAATAAGGCTGAAGTTGTCTTCACACTGACTACCCTTTTTCCCATCACAGATTCTCTCTACCACATGACTCCTGAGTTTTCTCCCCTGGTGTCTGTACTGATCTTCAATGTCATGATCTTTCCATTTCTTTCCTAAAATACAGACCCAGAAAATTTTTTCCAAAGTAGTAGAAATTATAGAATAGTTATCAGTTTATAGTTCTATGATGAGCTGTGACCATGCTCAATTTATTTACCAATATCCTCACTTCCCATATTACACACATTAGAACTTTAATGGGCAAGAAACACCTGTCCCCTAATTAACAAGGTAAAAATGAGTAGTCATGCTTACCTATGGAGGCCAGGTTCCTGAAAGTGTCCCACATCACATCTCTGTAGAGCTGCTTCTGTGCAGGATTCAGTAAGGCCCACTCTTCCAGGCTGAAGTTTACAGCCACATCCTCAAAGGCCTCCAAGACCCTTTCTGGGCTTCTCCGGTCCCCTAGCATTTTCCCCACCGTTCCCAGGGCCAGTACAGGTCACGCCGGTACAGAGACACTTCAGACGTTTAAGCACAGAAGTGACGCAATCGCGGCCAGGTGCCTCCAAGCCTCTATTGATCCTTCTTGCCTTAAATTGGGGGTCCATAAATTGTAAACTCTGACCAGGTAGCTGTATGTTTTTGTGAATAAAGTTTGATTGGAACACAATTCATGTCCTTACTGTTTATCTGACTTAAGCCCTGGAACATTTGAGTAGTTAACACAAAAAATTGAGATTTCCCTCCTGCCTAAAATGTTCAGCATGTGGACCTTAAGGGAAAAAGTTTGCTGATCCCTTCCTTCAAGTCTATTGTCGTATATTTATATTAAATACTGTCTTCTTTTGAATAACCCTTTCTGGTATATTTTTATCATTTTATTTTAAGATTGTTATGTCTTTATTTTTAAGTGACCTCTTATAAGCCATGTACAAATATATGCTCTTTAAAAATACTGCTTGTTTTCTTTGTATTTACTGATACAATGTGCTTTCTATTTGTTATCTTATTGTTTTATTTATATTTATTTATTTTTATGTTACATTTTTCTGCTTGTTTGCCTTCTTTTTAATCAAATTAATCAAACATTTTTGTTACTCTATTTCCTTTTATAAACTTGGTTATATATTTGAAAACAACTCTTACATGCTACCCTGAATGTATCCGTGTATATCCTTGTTAAATAATAATTGAGTAGAAATTATTACCTATACCATCCCTTAATCCATTTAGAAACTTAGAATACATTGTTTATTTTATATGAAAGATGAAATTCATATGAAAAAGACTTTACCCCAATAGGGCTGTATTTGGAAATACAGGTTTTAAAGAATTAATTATCATTAAGTTAATAATGAGGGTAAGGTCCTAATGCAATAAAAATGGTGTCCCTATGAGAAGAGGAAGGGATAACAGACGGACACATGCAAGAGGAAAGGCTATATAAGGACATAATAAGAAGGTGGCCACCTGTAAGCCACGGAAAGATGCCTCAGGAGAAGCCAAGCTGGCCAACACTTTGATTTGGACTTCCAGCCTGGCAAACTGATGAACACATTTCTGTTATTTAAGTCACACAGTCTTCGGTACTCTGTTATGGCAGCCCTAGCCATCTGACACTTAATGTATGTACCTAAGTGAAAAAGTATATATTCATGAAAATATGTAGGAAAAAGAACCAGTTTATTAAACTGGGGTGACTTAGAGTATTTTAGGAATGAGACTCGTGAATAAGACAGAGAAAGGAGGATAGCCATATATGAAGAATGTTAATTTTGCAATAAGAGGTGAATATTAGGAATCATATTTACATAAATTATGTGTAAATAACGTGCATTTCTGAAACAATGAGGAATCAAGTATATGTGTATATATGTGTATATTTTTTATATACTTATGCATTCATATACACATATATTTTCTTTGAGATATAATTGTATGTATTACTTAATATCTGTATAAATCATAGAATAACATACTCAAAAGTGTTACTATCATATTATACTTTAATTTTTGCCTGACTTTCAAAATCTTTGTGCAAATTTTCCTATAGTAACTAATGTCTATAACTTAAATCAGGATCCTTATGTAAAGCATAGAATCTGGTATAAAATAAGCATTTTGTAAAAGTTTTTTTTTTAAACTTGATAAACAATTGAATGAGTGACCAAATAAATAAATAACTAAATGTTAATGATATGCTGTATTAGTGATCCATAGTACACTTGCTATCTATTTATGTATTTATATATTAATGTATTTATTTATTTATGAATAGATCTTTGTCATTGACTACAGATTCCAATTTAAATTTCTTATCTTGTATTACATGGTTCTTCAAAATATGACATCAACCTGTTGTTCTAGCTCTATTTTTACTTTGCTACCTTGTGAATGTTAATCAAAAATATGTTTTTAACATATATTGCCATTCCGATGTCCTTTTGATCCCACAGAGTGTCTAAGCAATGGAGCAGTGCGGTTTGGAAGGCAGGATCAGATGTTAGTCTGTGCTTGAATTCTGAATCTACTGCTTAATAACTCTGTGACTTAGAAGAGCCATTTAATCTCATGCCTCTGGTTACTGATTTTGAAAAGAAAAGAATAACAGCCCATGCCTGTAATAACATTGAAAATATTAAAGAAAAAAATAAAAACAAAGTGCTGACAGTAGCTACTGTCATCTTGAAAACACACACACACACACACACACACACACATTTAATTTTGGCGACCCCTCTGCACATTTTTCTTCTTATTGGAATTTAAATTCTTATTCAAAGGCTACTTCAGATGAAACAATTTCATGTGTTTTTCCCTGATATTTTTGAAGGATTTACTGATTTTCCTAAAATTATTCTTATTGTTGTTATAAAATTACATACATATTTCATAAACATTCATACTTTATCTTTTAAAAATGTGTATGTTTCTCATAGTGCTTAAGCCTTGAGGAAGATCCTAAATGTCAAGGACAAAAGGTATATATGATATATCATCTTCTCCTTCATAGTATAGAGCTTAGTTTCTTCCATCAAATATTTCTAAATGATTTTATTCATTTTTAAACCTCAATATGCACATTTATTCCTTTAAAAATTTTGGTTTATTTTTATCTGATTTCGATCTTAACTTCTAACTATTATTATTATTGTTATTATCACTAAAGGAGAATCTCATGAGATTTATTATGTCAATCAGTGAGAAAAATGAATGGTGGTATTTGCATTCATTTACCTCAGTGATAATGATCTATACTATAGTAGAGAATCTAGTTTAATTGAGTTGTTTCCAAGTCACTAGTGATATATCACAGAGAATATTTACTAAAATTGTAACACAGAAAATTTCAAATTATATTTTAAATATATATAAAGAATCAACATGATACATTTTTCTGGCCAAATCAGAGCTAATGAATCAGAGCTTATTATAGAGTCATGTAATAGTTTGTCTGTTGTTGATTTTAATGCTTTCCAAAGAACTGTTTATGTATATGTACTTTAAAATTTTGCCTAGAGTGGAAAGCTAAAATTATTATTAAATGATAAGTCAATATCTTTCAACCATTGAATATTCTAAACATTCAGATAGAATGTAGTCATATTTCTAAGATAAAACATGGCTTGTCAAATACCATGTGATCTCACCTATAAGTGGAACCTCGTCAACAAAATAAACAAGGAAGCAAAATATAACCAGAGACCCTGAAATAAAGAGCAAACCGACAGTAACTGGAGGGGAGGGGAGAAGAGGGTAATGAGAGAAGGAAGGGGAAGGGTTGTCACAGAGCATGTATAAAGGACCTATGGACAAAGCCAAAGGGGGGATAGGATTGAGGGTGGGAGGTAGAAGTAGGTGGAGTAGGGGAAAATGGAGACAATTGTACTTGAACAACAATAAAAAAAATGGTTTGTTTTAAAACATATAAATCATCATATTTGTCACGAAGAAAAGCCATCTTGGTCAACAATTCTATTGCATTTCATGTATATTTGCTTCTGAAAAAAAAGAAGTAAATAGTTCCATAACAACTAAATATAGTTTAAAATGACTTTTCTGATTTCCTTTGGAGTGTGAAGAAAAATAATCTTTCATCAACAAAGAATGTCTTAGCAAGTATTGCTTGCGTAGTAAAACTCTATGAAATATTGCCACCATCTCACTGTGAACATCAATATTTAATTTTTCTCATATGTTTTTGTCATGAGTAAGTGCCCAACAAACATAATATATCAAGAGCCACTGTATTAAAAAATAGATACAAAACTTAGAGACTTAAATAATGAAAGATACAGAGCTTTGTTTTCATTTCCAAATACATTGATATCAGTTATTGCTTTGCAATTTGTCTCTATCATCAATTGCAAATGTAGATAACTAAAGACATAAATTTTTCACCCACATACAGTTAAACAGAAGCAGATTAAACAATTCCACATTTGTCACAAATATTAAGCATTTTGAATCCTTATACTTTTGGAACACTGAACAGAAGTGAAATTGACATATAAATAAATGTATTATTTCTCACAATATAATACCTATTTAAAATGTTTATTTATCTCCAATTAATTTATTCTAGCAGATTGAAAAAAAACACTGCACTGAAAGATAGATAAATTAAATACAAGCATTCATAAGTTTGCAAAATGCAAACAAACATATCTTGGTGACATACAGAGGTTTCACCATACCTCTAGCATCCAAGGATGGACAGAATATACCATACTGGTTTTTCTGACTGTTTTAAAGAGATGATCATCAGGAACCACAGGTTGGTCAACAAGGACTACTCTACACAGAATATGCCAATCTTGATTGCTTGTGTTACTGATTGCCTGTGTTTGTCATATTACATGTACATCCTTTTTGTTTTTTCCCATTATTTCTTTTTGGATTTTACAACATAGTTATTTGTAGAGCAGTTATACTTGCTTTCAGCTTTACTTCAGAACAAAAGGCAG